CTCTATTTTATTTTCAAAATAATAAAAAAATAAAAAAATAAAAAAAATTTATGCATCTCAAACAATATCAAACAACATTACTCAAATCATTAAATGCTTCTTCATCTAATTGATATTATTTTACAATGTAATACAATTTAAATTATAAAATAAGAGACTCGTAATATAATTTAAAAGGGCAAGTCTAGACTGCAAAATTAAGGTAATTAAATGAGAAAATATTAAGAGGCTGGTTTTGATAATGGTTGGTTTTGTACTTTTGTCCAAATTACAGAATGAGAAACTCAAAATACAATTTAGGAGTACAACTGTAGAAATAAGATAATTAAATAAGAAAGGGCTGCACCAATGTCAAAAGGTTTACTATGTTTTGATCTAATGTTTAATTTTATGCAGTTTAGATCATATAAAACATTTCTCCATTGTGTATTCTATGTATGTATGCCCAAAAGGAAAACAAAATTAAAGTACCATTTGTAATCTCCGAGGGAGAAGACCTCCGAGTAGAGCTTCTGCAAATCAAGCTCCTGCAAATCAAGCTTGGAGAAATTCTTTCTTTTCCATATAAACTTTATCTTACCCACTACACTCCCACTTCCCACTCAACACGAAATTTAAATTTAAAATTTTTAATTTTATTTCAAACCCTTAACAATTGAATCACAGATTAATTCATCTTTAAAAGAGATTCTAACAGTTCATCTCTAAAAGAGATTCTAACTCACGAATATATTCCTCCTCCTCGCTCCACGATGAGCAGCCGGGTCCTCTTTCTACGGTTCTTCCTTCTTGGACTCTGCAGTTCCAGTTTGGAACAAAGATTGTACACGAGGAACAAGGGTAAGGCCGAACCACAAAATGAAAATGAGCACACATGCGGGCATTCCCATTATAGAACTTGAGGTGCAACATATGGATTCCGGTGGTCCTTTTATTTTTCGACAATTTGTTCTAAACAAATTGTAAGCCCAAAAGAGGTGGAAACCCATCACTGTTAATGCCTCAATAATCTCTGATTTGGACTTTCTTCTTCTTCTGCTTCTTCTTCTTCTTCTTCCGATGGCGGGGAGCAGTGACTGATATTCTTCCACCTCCAACCAATGCTTGTCTAACCAGCACCTAAAAGCCAATAGCGGAAAACAAATGGCTACAACTATCCAAGTTTGAAATTTGTGTCCGAAGAGATTGTAAGCAACCGATCCAATGACTCCAGTTAGAAAACCGAAGAACCCAAGGTCCGTGGAGGGTTGTACTATGACCAGTAGGATTAGAAACAGAACCGTGATACTCAAGGTAAAACACAGATTACTCAAGGATTTCTCATATAATTTCTCTGAAACAATAGCTAGAAGCAAGCAGAAGAGATTTGCTATTGAATTTACCTTGAAGCCACATGGTCTGTGGATGAATCCACGTCGACTCAAACGCCTCGAATTAGATACCAGAACAGCTGAGATGATTTGGTAAGAAAGTACCGTTTTGATTCGGGTGCTATCATGTTCTGCGTGTGACCTGGTTTTCCACATCAAAAGTGCTGCAGTAAATAGAGTAATCTGAGCGAAGAGAATGGCCGAACCATTCTCCACGCTTTCGCGGAGATGCGTCCTCAGAGCTTCTGATGGAGTCCTCATCTTCTGTAGGATGCAGGAGATATTGAGAAGAAGAAATCACACAAATGAAAATTAAATTGATTTGTTCAGAGGAAAAAGGAGCTCTTATAGATGATTTGTTTGATCAATTTCTAAGCAATTACAGGTCAGTCTGAAACAGACAATATAGAAGGAAACACATCTGCACTTTCCTTTTTCAAAAGCCTTCTCCCTCTTAAGTGCGTGTTGTAGAAAGTCTCCCTTTGGCGTCAACTCTAATCATTTTGAGAGGAAATGATTTAACGGGAAATGGCACGGAAAGCGAAGCTCTAATTATACGAAGGGAAATTTTATGGAAACAAAGCTTAAATAAGTTCTCGAGTTCAAAACCTGTGAATGCAGCAACTCTCGTTGGGAGACTCACCTACCATTTTCAGATGCGCGACGTGGGTCGGGTCTAGATTAGTCAAGATGAAGCCCCAAATATCGGACGAGAAACCGAAAAAAAAAAAAAATGTTATGGACAAGAGTCTCATAGAATTTTTTTAATAAAATCTTTATATGTTATTAAATTAATAAATATATATAATATTATAAATTTTATTAAATTAAAATCTCAACAATTATTAAATGATAATATAAGGTTTTATAAAATATTTATATAAAAACTTCTCTCTCGGTATTTTCTTTATTTGAAACATTGAAATTCATTACTTTAAACTTTATACTTTATAGTATATTTAAATTGAAAAAAATAAAAAAAATTATAATTTAATTAATTAAAAAAAAATTTCTTTCTTTCTTTTCCCTCTCCTTCTTTACCCTCAACTCAAATCATATTATTAAAGATTAGAAAAAAAAAAAGAACCTACCGTAGAGCCCATTGACCCAACTGTCCAGCTATGGGCTGGGCTCTAGTTTTCCTTGACTATATTCCCCTTCCTCACCCCATGACATGAAAAGGAAAAAACCTCGAACATCCTACTCCTAGTGATCTCATGTTTTTTATTTAGTGAAATTAATGGGCCGGATTTGTCCGCTATCAGAAATAAATGGGCCTTAAAACAGCCCCACTGTTATTTTAGTGTGAAACGGGCCTAGCTAAAGTCAATGGAGTGTTTGGTTAGAGGTTTACTAGGAAAGCAATTGAAGAAAAAACATAGTTATTACATTCCTTTTAGTTCGCCAAATTTCAGTGACAGATTTAAGTTTTTCATGATACCTTCTTTTAGATGGTCTTTTTGTTATTTATTTCTCTTTCTATCTTTTCTCTTATTTGTGGGGGTGTGAGGGCATAAATTTGTAGAAAAAAATAACAGAAAATGAATTTTGCTGTTGAAAGTTCACTAGATTGATTGTTTACATAATTATCAGTTTGGTAACCCAAATTCCATGGATGAAACTGTTAATAGAAAGACATCTTTGTAAAGTGACAGTTCATTCACAATGGTTGGTTTGCTAGATCAGATAGATGTAGCTGAAGATACCTCTGAATTTGTGGTACACAGCAGAGTAAGTGTTATATCCCCGCGAATAACCCCATCACTCTATAGTTTTTTTTTTTTTTTTTTTTTTTTTTGGGGGTTTTTTCTTTCTGTGTATCCTTATATAACATGTTCTCTTCTGTCTTCTCTGCTGGCCATGCTTTGCCTATATTCATAAATGGTCAACTAGCAGGAGGAAATTTTCATTACTTTCAAAATGCCTTGAAGCCAACCTCTCTAATCATGTGAATGTTTAATTTTATTTTTTTCCAGAAACATGATGATATTATTATTATAGTGGTCCTTTTGAGTTTATGCCAGAAATTTATCCTTAGGAAATATGGAAACAGGTAATGCTTGGTCTTGCTGCATCTGATATGATTTAATGCTTATTCTATGTCTAGCCATGTCTGTTATTTCTTTGTTTTTTGAATGTCTAGAACCGTATGCTTAAAAATGAATTTATATTTTCTCCTCTCTCCCCGACTAATTTTTCTACGATCATTTTAATTTGACATGATATCTTTTGTGGTGGTCATGATTTCAGTGTTGAATGGTGATCCAGATGTTGAGATGTCAAATGCTTTTCTTGAACCTAATGATCTTGATGAGTGGAGGAGGGAGCCGTCATGGCAAATTGGTCTTACATGGTTTACCTTTAAACAATGATAAATGTTTCTCATGTTTCTTTTATAAAGCAGCGGTCCCCTTAATTCTGTATGTATATTATTTTTGCAGTTTGGTTTCAAAGGAGAAGGTTTGAATCTTCATTCACTATGTGAGTTCCTCAATTGAATGCTAAAATGTTCAATTACTATAAGATCTTTTGTATGTCTATAGCACCCTTGGATCTTGTATGTGTAATGTTGATGTCTGGACATGTTTTGGTTGTACGCTAAATTTGAGGTTTTCTCAGTTATATGAACCTAAGAGTTCAGAAGCATTATCCTGATTTTGTTCATAATGAATGATTTTTATGCACCCAATCTTTTCCGTACCAGCACTTTTTTTGAAGCACATACTCTGTACTACAAGTCTAGCAAGTGTCATTTTCTTGTCCTTGAGGTTTATGGATCATAATTCATTAGTTTTGTTGAGTCAGAGACTTCGGATGTCAGTTACATGAATTGCCAATGATGGTAATCCTTTTGGGAAGTCTTGTGCACGTCTCAGTTACATGCATATGTAGTTGGAATCCATGGAGAATATGGGGTCGCCCTGCTGCTGCAGTTGCCAGGGACCTGCGCTGCTAGCATGCGATTATGGTCAACATTTTTAACTAGTTTTGACACTTCTTTTTTATTTAATAGTTTTGGAACCTTGATTTATAAGCCAAATATTCAACACAGGGCATTAATATAGGAGTCTAAGGTAGAAAGGTTTGTTTAGAGATGAAACAAATTGTTTCATTTTTTGCCATTCTGTTCTAACTATCTCCTCCTCCTCTTCGGCAGCCTTCATCTTTGCTTCATACTCTGGCCACCGCTTTTCTAGCACGTCAAGTTCAGCTTTCAAGTCCTTGGAAAGTTCAAACATCTCTTTCTGCTTGGACGAGATATTGTCTCTCTTCTTTCGTGCCTCATCAATTTGAGCAAGGAGGGAATTAACTTGCTCCTGGAGGGTGGCAATCTGTTGTTCCTGGTGTTTGGTTTCTTGCTTAGCCTTTTTAAACTCAATTAAGCACCTTTCTAGTTTGCAACCAAGCGTCACCTTAACAAATGCCTTGTGCGTACACAGATTCCTGTCCTTAGCTGCTCTTGCTGCTCTCTCAGGCAAGTCAACAAATTTTTCCTTCATGGCTAGTAATTCTTCCTTTTGCTCAGCTGTAAGTACAGAACAATCATCAAAAGAAGATAAAACATCAAATGAAGTTTTAATTTTCGAAATTCTTCCAGGATCATTTAAGTCAGCTGGATCCATGTTCAAGGCGTTCCTTATCACTCTCACAGCTATTTCTACGACATGTTTTGAAGAAGGATTGTTACTACTGGAAATCTCAGAGTCCAAATCCACGAAGAATGCATCAATATCTTCTTTAGTTGAGCTTTTTGTGGCACTGGCCTCTTTGTTTGAACCATGTGACTCGTCGCTGAATACGGTTACATTAGCCTTAATTATGCATGTGTCTTCCACCAAGTAACCCTTTCCAAGGTCATGCAATTCCTCAAGGGGGATGAATTTAGAGAAGCCCCAATCTTTTTCCTGTGCATTAAATTTATGCTCTGCACCTGCATTGAACAATCATTGACAACCATTTGATAAAATGCATAAATAACATTTTAAATGCATAAATAACATTTTACTCATCACACTTTCTACAAAAGGATTGTACAATTTATTTTTCAATTTCAATTTTCAACGCAACATTAATGTCTTGTTTTTTAACTTTATACATATTAGTAATTACTTTATTTTTAAAAAATTCATCTCGACTTTTCAATTACCTTTATTAATAAGAGTAAATATGAAATTTTCACTAGTAATAATTGGGTTTCTATAAATCATTCTAGTTTTCTTAATAATTGTACTAAATAAAAGTATGACAAGTAAAATGAATTAAAAGTACCATATATAATTTAGTAAAAGTAAAACCTACATCATCTTATAATTGAGATTAGACGATTTATTTTCCACTTCTTCCATATTATATACCTTCTCTAACTGAGGATTTGTTATCAATTTGGTTGACAACAGTCACGGAGAATTCTGCATTTCGACTCCAACCAGAGGGCAAAGTCTCTGACTCTGCAACTTCCAGGAAAATTGACAAATGCTCCACCTTGTTGCCTTTGGGGAACATTAGTATCCGCCTGTAGAAACCATCAATTTAATTTAAAAAATACAAAAGATCTACCATCAATCTTACTATATGCCGAGCTAGTTCAATCTCTAGTCATTACATATTAAATAAAAAAATACAAATGATCTACATATGTGTGCTCAAAAATAAAACAAATTAAAGAATTACCATTTGTAATCTTCAAGGGAGAAGACTTTTGAGTATAGCTTCGGTGAATCAAGCTTGGAGAAATTCTTTATTTTCCATGTAAACTTTATATCACCCACTGCACTCATCCCACTCCCCCACCAAAAAAAAAAA